CTGAAGAGGAAGCGCCGCCATGGAGTGAAAAACAAAACTTTTTGAAATTTTAGCAAGATAATGTAATAGACTCAGTGACACTAGCCATCTTATTTGTAAGGATGTTCGTGCTTTCAGAGAGACTAATATGTGAATGAGAGCTTAGGTATGAAGTTAGCCAGACAGTGTGATCTTGGACAATGTCTTATAACTTCTTTGATTTTTGATCTTTATGAGGTAAAATTTTTTTACATTAAAAAATAATTTTATATTTATTTTTGGCTGTGCTGGGTCTTACTGCTGTGTGGGCTTTTCTCCAGTTGTGGTGCATGGGCTTCTCATGGCAGGAGATTCTTTTTTTGTGGAGCACAGGCTCTAGGGTGTGGACTCAGTTGTTGTGGCTCCCGGGGTCTAGAACACAGACCCAATTGTTGTGGCACATGGGCTTAGGTGCTCCAAGACAGGCAGATGGGATGTTTCCAGATCGGGGATCGAACCCATGTCTTCTTCATTGGCAGGTGGGTTCTTTATCGCTGAGCCACCAGGGAAGCCCCTTTAAGAGATACATTTCAACAGTGCCTGCTTCATAGGGTTCTTAGGAAAAATCAGTAATTCACATAAAAGTCTCAGCACGGGCTGAGACAAAGGGCTTCTAGCAAATGTTAGCTGCCTTTGTGTTGTTATCCTGGCTGGACACAGATTCAGAGTATGGAGGGGTTTCAGTGTTTTCTGGGCTGTGGTGAATTAAACGAAGCCATCAGTTCTAATCGTCAAGGCCAGCAGCCCTGATTCCGCGTTTGAAAATGGTCCACAGTTAAAGCAATTGATGGTGGCTTTTCAAAACTCTCCCAGACCTTTAACCTCCGTTGCTAAGGATGTATTTGGCCTCTCAGATAGTTGCATAGAAACTGTGTGAATTTAGTCTTTGTGCCTAAGGGAAACTGACAGATAGCAAAAATTCCCAGCAGATGGTTGGATCAACTATTTCAGATAGTTCAGATAAAATGTCACTGAATTATCTGGAAATCTACTTCAATCCTTTGCCAAGTAGGGTTGGTGAAGTAGTCTATGGAGTGTGTATGGCTTGGCGGTTTTAGTCAGTTTCAGTTACAAACTATGGTTTCCTTCCAGCCAGGATGTAATATTCATTAGTGAAATTATGTCTGTGCAAAGAGGAAAGATAGGCGAGACTTGTTTGTGAGGACGGAGTCCTCCTCGGGCATAATCCTAGCAGTGGCGTACTTTGCATTGGATCATTCAGACAAAGGCTTTGCTTAGCCACTTCATTTGGCCGTGAGGGTGTTGCTGTGAAGGCTGCTTCTAATATCCTTGTGGCCAGGGCCGTCGAAAGCCGGGAATTGTGACAGGAACTGTCTTGTAGGACAACATTTAAAGTTCTGACTAATAAACTTGGGTGGCAGAAGAAAGTTGTATTTGACAAAAAATATTAACTGTTCAAAATATTCACTTATTGAGGTCCACAAAGTAGATACTATTATCCTCGCTTTACAGATGAGTGGAGGAGCCAGGATTCAAACCAGCCAATCTAACAATTGCATTGTGTGACTGATTCATCCATAAAGAAATCACGAGACCCTAGGCATGGGAGCGGAAAGAATTACTTCTGTTTCCCACTGGAAACCTTTCTGTGAGGGGTGAAACCAAATGTAAATGACAAAATAAAGGATGAGTTTAATGGTTTGTTTACTTTTTAGGTTTCATTAAGCACCTCAAACGGTGGCCTGTTGAGCAGCTAGCTAAAATAAGGCATTTATTTTAATTTGCTTTTCTGTCATTCAATTTACATGTCTTTGGAAGATTGGAAGTGCTAAAAAATCAGTTCAAGTGGAGATGGTATATATCAACCGGTTCTTAACCTATTTACTGAGAAGCAATCTGTTTGTGTATTTAAAAGAGAAATAATCCTTTTCATCAACAATAAGAATTTATTACTGTGCATCAAAATAAATCTTTAGATCTCAAGTTAGTTTCCTTTAATGTTTTCTGTTTATTCTGAAAGCTCTTATTAATTGGAGAAATTCACAGAATACCAATGTTAGACAATCACAAATGTTTTAGAATTTAATAAACATCTGTTGAGAGCGTAATATATGCAAGCCATAGTACGAAGAGCTGGGAGAGGTTAAAAATATATAATTTTAAAATAAGGCCTCTGCTTTGAAGGATTTTGTTTTCTAGTAGAGGCAGCAACACAGACATGTAAATAAGCGATAAAAAATAAAATGCAGGCAGGAGGGGCTTTGAGAGCTTCTGGCTGGAAATCAGAGAGATTGCATGAAGGGCATAATTTCTAGCTCCATGAAGTAGATGCTATCCCCCTTATTTTGTTTTCCCAGATTTTAGCCCAGTATCTGGCACATAATAGAATTGTTAAATTCAGTGATTTTAAAATAAATAAGTTGGCCCTAGATGGTCAAGTATGTAAGGAAAAATGAGAACACATAATCCTCAATCCAGCTTGATTCAGCAAATATCAGTTGTCATATACTCTGGGTGGGGCCCTTTGCTGGGTGGGAAGAACAGCCAGTGCCAAAGCGTGGAGACAGGGAAGCTGGGTGCAAAGTCCATGAAGTGCTTGGCATTCCTGGGTGCGGCGGGTGTGGGAGATAAGGCCAGAAGAGCAACTGGGGACCAACATTTAAAAGATCTTGATGGTGAGGTTTTGAGGAGAAAGATCCCCAAATGTCTATATTATATTGTCTGTATTTTTACTTCTCTTAAGCAAATATTGGTTGCTAGCTGATCATGTTCGTTTTACTAATATAAAAAAAATGACTAGTTAGATTTAATAATACCAATTGATTCATTTTAGATATATTGTAGTATGCTAGAACCTGGGCTTATTATTTGTTTCTGTATGTTTCCAAACCACATAAGCAGTCTAAAGCACTAGAAAAAATGTCTTGTTTGTGTTTGACAAGGAGCCAGTCCTAAAATGATGTTTGGACACATAGACCAGACTAATTCTGTTGCAAAACTCATTTCTAAACATTCACAGAATTTACAGATCTAACTGTCCTGAAGGGTTTTAATCCTAGCTCTTTCTTAAAATAGCTGTAGCCCTGGGACATTTTGCTTCATTTACCCAGCATGTGCAAACAACATGTACATCTCTATACCTACATCTACGCCTCTTCAGCTATCACACAGTACAGGGTAGAGCAGAGAGGAAAAGTTCTTTGAACTTTGGCCTCTGGCAGATCTGGTTGGCAACAAGGCAATATTACTTCCTAGCTGTGTCTTTAGGTGAATGGCTTAACTTTGAACTTCAGTTTCCTCGCGTATAAAACAAGAGTAACATTTCCTAATTTGTTATGACTGAGAGAAACTCGTAAGAGTGCTCACTCACTATTGAGCAATTGCTATGTATTTTCCATTTGAGTAAACTGAGGCACACAGAGAGATTAAGTAGTACCCACGTGGCCACACAGCTAATGAAAGGCTGCACTGGGTTTCCGGTCCAGGCTCTCTGACTCAGAGTACACCTTCTGGGCCTCTGTCATTCTGTCTGTAAAGGTCCCTCCACTGATCTACCCTATGTATTGTGCTGGGCTTAGTTGGTCAGTCGTGTCCAACTCTTCACTACCCCATGGACTGTAGCCGGTCAGTCTCCTCTGTCCATGGGATTCTCCAGGCAAGAACACTGGAGTGGGTAGCCATGCCCTTCTTCAGGGGATCTTCCCAACTCAGGTATCAAACCCAGGCCTCCCACATGGCAGGCAGATTGTTTTTTTTAGTATCTGACCCACCAGGGATGATCCTTAATAAACACTAATTTCTATCTTTATTTCCCAGGACATTTGTGAAGCTAAATTGTTGTAGTACTTTGACCTTTCTTAAAGTTCAAATATAAGTTATCCAAAGGTAGGGAATTAAAAATTTTCAGGGTTTAAATTTTTAGATAGTTAGAATTTTATAACCATTTCCCCATGCCGATTATATTAGCAATGTAAATTCAATGTAGAAAACTTTAAAAAATTTAAAAAAAGAAGTAAAACAAGATCATCTACAATTCCTGGAGGCAATAAAATAATTGAAATTTTAGTGAAGTGAATGCATTCTTCATTTCCTTGTTTTTTTTTGTTTTGTTTTAGCAGTCCAATATTATGATAGGCAACAGTCCTGCTTTATAGACCATGTGGAAAATTTGTCTCAGATCTTAAAATCATTTAGTCATGAAAAAATAAGAATAGGAAAAAAATCGGTTAGTCATGATGTATCTTAGGGTGAAAGGCATATTTTTTGTGAAATGTGAAGGCACAAGGAAAGAGGAAAAATAATGTTGAGTAGGAGAGAAGAGGGGCAGGGTCTGGATTTTTATTGGGTTGCTTTGGGAGTAATAAATACATTTTTTCCTTTGGTGTATTGTACAGTTAACAGCAAGGTTTAGAAGACCAAAGAGGTGGCTGGTGAGGTTGTTGAATGAAGGATTGGGAACATTCTTGGGTTCTTCCTCCTTGAAGAATCTCATATATTTGCAGCTGTGAATCAGAACCACTAAAATTTTAGCATCTTGTTATTTTGGCGTTTGCGCATCTCCTCCATCCATATAATGAGGGTCTTCATTGCAGCACATGGGGGCTTCTCTAGTTGTGGTGCAGAGGCTCACCAGTTGCGGTTTCTCTATTTGCCTCCAGGCACGTGGGCTCTTAGTTCCTCTACTAGGGATTGAACCCTCGTCCCCAGCATTAGGAAGGCGGATTCTTAACCACTGGACCATCGGGGAAGTCCCCATTTAAGAATCTTTAAGTGAAAAAGACTGATAAAGTGAAGCGGTATCAGCATAAGCTTGTTTTGGGATATTGACTTGGTACCAGGGAGCTTGGGAATACCAGACTGTTCCACAGAGGAGAGGCTGGGCTTCAAGGATGCCATCCTGCTAGGTTTATAACTGAGTATCGTCCAGTGATCCTTTGTGCTTGGGTAAACATGGTTTTAACAGGATGGGAACTAATCAACTTGTCTCCGGTTTATTCACAGGAGTTTGAATAAGGAAAATTATGACAACGCAAGCCCAGCTACACTGCTTCTGTCTCCTCACACTTTACTTGGTAAGAGAAGAGAATTGTTCTTTCTGTATTTAGTGGAATATTTCTAGCCCATATCGGGGAAGCAACAGCTATCATCAGTTAAAAAAAAGCCTATCAGATTAACTTATTGTGAACAAAGCACACAGCTTACCCCAGTGGGCTGCTTTTGATGAAATGGCTGTAAGTTATATGTCTAACTTTCAACCAGGGAGATGCTTTCTCCTCAGCTCTTATAAGCCAATGCCCCTTCACGGGCAAGTGTTAAACAATTCATCTACTCAGTTTTAGACCTTCACATACAGCTCAGGGAATCTGGAAAGAAAAGTATACTGATACATGTGTTAGTCTATGTCCCTTAGTCTTGACTTTATTTTTTCTTTAACTGTGGTTAAATTACCACCGAAATTAAGAAAAGCATTTTCTCCATTTTTGACTCTGCTCTGCTCTGTACTTTTGTTCCCATATATGGCTTGGACTCTTTTTGGCCAGATTTGCCCTTAGTCACTTGTTGAGTTAACCCTATCGACTCAGGCTTCTAGAAGTTGGAGCTGAGTGGAACGTGGGGAGACCAGCCCAGACCTCAGGTAGATAGAGGGTGCTGTCTTCCCTTTTGTCATGAGGTTCATAAGGGCCATACACTTGCCAGATTTGCTGTGTTATGAAGCAAAATTATGGGGAAGCATTTGCTTTCTCCTTAGAAGGAAGCTACTAGATCCTCTTACCTCTAATCTTGGTTCCTTTCTTTGAAAACCCAAATATAACATCGAATTTCAAGTTCCAGAGAGCCCTTGAGAGTCTACACAGTTCAAAATATTTAGAGTGACATCTAGCCGTACTTGTAAACTTGCCAGAGCATTCCTTTTGAGGGGAAAAGCTGCAATTTGAACCTTATGAGCACTGTGCATCCTTACAGCCTAGGCCTCGAAGCTTGTTCTTAGGACTGCCAAAAAACACCACATGACTTATCTCTTCTTCCTACCTTCTCATATGTGCTTTGCTATCTATATTATGGCAGAATGGTGAAATCAGTGCCTAGTTCAAACTTGGCACTGCTGTTGACTGGTGATAAGAACTTGGGTGAGTTACTACACTCTGAACCTCAGCTTTCTGCCTGGTGAAATGGGTCTGACAAGAGGACTTGCCTTGTGTGGCAACTAAATTAGATCATACAAAGCCCTTGGATCAGTGACTGGCACAGTCTAAGGTCTTGATAAATATTAGCTATAATTATTACTACCACATTTTAAATATTCAGTAATTACACTTATATGGACCCTGGCCTCCATGAGGAAGACTGTATTTTAGTCATCTTTGTAGCCTCAGCACATAGCACAGTGCCAGGAGCAAGGTAGAAGTTAAATACATAATTATGGATTCATATTAGGAAACAACAGTGAGCTCTAAGAAAGAGAGAGAAGATTCTATCATGATAATTTAACATTAGCAGGCTCAACAGCTTCTGATCTGAGATGGGGCTATGCATTTTTCTTGCTAGATAGAGGGTGAAAATAAGTTTTCCTTTTCCTTACTTTCATTTTCCTTACTCTCACCGTAGTGAGGTTTCTACCTGGAATAAGCAATACGGCCCAAACCACTGCTGGCAGCAAGAGTGTTGCCTGGGAGACAGCCCCGTGCATAGTTGTCTTTGGGTGAAGGACGGAGGCTGTGACCTGTGGGGTGGGGTCTCAGGGGCATTGGGCGGAGCTGTGTCTCTTCTGCCCCTTCACCCCTATGCCCAGACCGCTCCTGTAAAGACTGCAACTTCACTTGGTGCTTCTTTCTTTCAGCATCAGGCTTTTATCTGGCAGAGGTTATTTATCATTTATTACATACTATAGTGGTTCTCCCGTTCTTTTCTGAGAACTGGTTCTCTTAGGGGATTAGAAACACTGTATGAATATATTGGAAGGGCACTGAAGAGAGGATTTGGGAGCATGCTGAGTAGGGATGCAGGGAAATCAGGGAGAAGCCAACTCTTTTAGAATTGTGCCTGGGACTCTGCTTCCTGCAGAAGGAAGAAGAGCTTGAAATACTTACTGTGTAACCAACGCAGAGAACTCTTGCCGTAAAGTGCAATGGAGGTGGCTCCTAGGCAGGCAGATCTGACAACTGCAATTGTCCTCTGCTGGTCTGGAAGGCCGTGGGGCCACGTGGTGGAGAGTTGGGGCTCGGTGGTCTGGAAGGCAGTGGGGCCACGTGGTGGAGAGTTGGGGCTCGGTGGTCTGGAAGGCAGTGGGGCCACGTGGTGGAGAGTTGGGGCTCGGTGGTCTGGAAGGCAGTGGGGCCACGTGGTGGAGAGTTGGGGCTCGGTGGTCTGGAAGGCAGTGGGGCCACGTGGTGGAGAGTTGGGGCTCGGTGGTCTGGAAGGCAGTGGGGCCACGTGGTGGAGAGTTGGGGCTCAGTGGTCTGGAAGGCAGTGGGGCCACGTGGTGGAGAGTTGGGGCTCTGTGGTCCAGCCCATTGGCACCATTCCACTGTAACACCAACTATCTGTGCCTCTGCTAGGGGATTCTCTTGAGAGACTTCCCTGATATTGATGAGGATCTTAAGAAATGACATGTGTGGAGGGTCTCATTCCATAGCAGGAAACACTCAAAAATATCAGTTCCATTCGCTTCCTACCTTTCACCTCTTTATGCAAGACGGTGGGTTTTATTCCTCCAACTCCTTCACAAGTTATCACCATAACATTCTTCCCAGTTCTGGCAGTATGGCTCATTGACTTGTGCATTTTGAAATCTTTATAGCTCAAATAGCCCTGATATGAGAACCCAACCCTACTTTGAACCTTGCCACTGAGACCTCTCCTTTTTTCCTGATAGGTGAGCCAGCTTTTCCACTGAGGAAAAATTCAGGCTTTTTTCCTGGGTGAGGGTGAGGTTTGCCTGAGTAATGTAGTTTTCCTAGAGGGGCCGCCACTGGTGTGATCAGCTGAAAGACGGACTGCTTACTGATGTGAGCAGAAAGCTTATGAAATGAATGAAAGTCACTCAGTTGTGTCTGACTCTTCGCGACCCCAAGGAGTATACAGTCCATGGAATTCTCCATTTCAATTCCATTCTCCATGGAATTCTCCAGGCCAGAATACTGGAGTGGGTAGCCTTTCCCTTCTCCAGGGGATCTTCCCAACCCAGGGATCGAACCCAGGTCTCCTGCATTGCAGGTAGATTCTTTACCAGTTGAGCCACAAGACGGACTGCTTACTGATGTGAGCAGAAAGTTGATGAAAGCAGTTTGTTATTAAGCAGCAGCCCCTCCAAAAGTACTGCCCTCATCCTGTATCCACCACGGTGCCCACTTCTTGTGCCCTGCCTTCCAGAGGGGCCAGTGGAGCTGCAGAAGATGTGGAAAGACACGGGAGGGAAGATGAGCCCTCAGAGGAAGATACACCTTGAAAGGAACTGATGAGCTAGGAGTCTGTGTAGTTATTGTTGTCAGTTAAGAAGTTCTTTAGCTATGAGCAAATTTACAGTGTCTCCAGTCAACAGGGATTTATTTTTTCTTTAGACAACAAGAATCCTGTAGTGGGCAGTCCTGGGCAGGTTTAGCAGTTCTGTGATGTTATCAGAGACCTGGGCTTCTTTATCTTTGCTCCACCATTATTTGAGCTGGTTTATCCCCCATGGTTTCATGACGGCTGCCACAGCTACAGATAGGGGACCACTGCCTGAACAAGAACAAGGAAAGAGGAAGGACTATGCCACCCACATCTGTCCTTTTTCATCAGCTTGGCTCAGGTCAGTTCAGTCGCTCAGTCGAGTCCGACTCTTTGTGACCCCACGGACTGCAGTACGCCAGGCCTCCCTGTCCATCACTAACTCCTGGAATTTACCCAAACTCATGTCCACTGAGTTGGTGATGCCATCCAACCATCTCATCCTCTGTTGTCCCCTTCTCATCAGGAGAACAAAAGCTTGACTAGAAACATCCCCCCACCCACACCCTGACCCAGCAGACTCCATCTTTTGTTTCATGAACCAGAACTGAGTCACTTGGCCATGATCTTTCCTGCAAAGGAGACTGGGAAAGAGATCATTTGTCTTTCCAAGGGATAGAGGTTGACAATGGCTGCAGGGGCAGCTAACTCTGAAGGGGAGGGAAGTTCCAAATTCCAAAACCTCTGTGTTCTTGTTTGTTACTGCTTTTTTGTTGGACACCCAGATCAACTCAGTCAAGGTTTAATGAGCCATAGTACAAGATCTTTTTCCCCATCATTTCATCCTAATTGTCTTTGGGTTATTTATCGCCAGTGTTTCTGAGGCCAGAGTGTACTTGCTCCATATAAAGAAATGGAAAATAAATCTCTTCTCCCCAGTTTTTCTTTCTTTTTTTGGTTTTACCTGTCCAGTTCTCCAAACCATTAACTTCCCATATCATACTAATCTATCCCACCCCTGACTCCCGCCACAGGAGGAGAGCGGAAGGACCGCTCAGGAGGGGCACTGGCATCGGGTGTCGTGCTAGATGCCTCATTCCAGGGGTGCCCACTGTGGTGGGTTTATAGCTGGTGGTCCCTTCCTGCGTGCTGCTCTGCCTCCCAATTTCCTTCAGTGATCCTCGTTGGGGGGAGACAAAGGGATGGCAGGAACTACCGCTGAATGTGCCCCCTTGCACACCCCCTGGGCTGCAGATTTCCTGCCAGACTGCCTCAGCCACCTGTGCTCCTTCTAGTGGGTAGTGGGGCCGTGGCTTAGAGCGGCTAAGAGTGGTCTGGAATTGTCGGTTTGAATCCTGCTTCCTGCACTGTGAGCAAATGACCTAACCATTCTGCATCTCAGTCTCATCGCCGGTGAAACATAGCTAATGATGATAATTTACCCTGTAGGATTGTTAACGTGGTTAAATGTGCTTAGGACAAAGCTCAGCATACACTGACGTAGCGAATGTGAGCTCTTTCTGCTGTGTGCCGGGCAAGCATTGTACTAAACAGGTCCACATATTTTTTCCCGTTACGGATTCAATTGTCTTCGAGGTGCCTGAGCTCTAGCAAGCTGGGGATCTGCCATGGATTTCCTTATAAACCAACAAGAGTGGAATGGAGGGGTTTTAAGAAACTGGTGTCAATCAGGTAGAATTGAATGGCATCGTGGCTTTGTGGGACGACGATCACGTTTTCCTTCAGCTAGAACCTAGTGTGTATGCCATGTCAGCTGCTCATGGGTTCTACCCTGGTCAAGTGACTAACCCTCTGTGAGCCTCATTGAAAACACAGCAGTGTTAATTTTCCCCCTCAGGCTGATTGCTTGAATCACCTTGAATGAGAAAAGCAATGCTAGGCTGCTGGCAAACCATCTTGACATAGTGGAGCCTCAACAAATGTGAGAACCCTTCCTGCCTATTTTGATTTGATTTCACTTTTTTTTTTTTTTTCTGGAGCCATGTTAGAATCTTAGATTTCATATATCACTCCTGGAACCATAAGAAAATCATCAAGTGGCCCATATACATTCATAGTACATGGTGTTGCTAATTTTCTCTTTTTCTTTCATCTTTTAACAGACAACTGGATATGGGCAAGAGGGAAAGTTTAGTGGACCCCTAAAACCCATGACTTTTTCCATTTTTGAAGGCCAAGAACCGAGTCAACTCATATTCCAGGTAAGGGCTACTCTTATTCCCTGTCATCTTGATTTTGCAGGCTTTCTCCATGGACTTTTACTCTTTTATCTACTGGACACCCTGAAATAAAATAGAGGCCTAGGAGATCCCATTATGGAGAATGGTTTCAGGAGCCAAGAGACGAGCAGCCTCAGTAATACCAGCGTCCTCATTCGGACTTCCTCAGTGGTATCTGGGGTATCCCCCATCCCTGAGATGGGGACCTTAGGGCCTGTAGACTCCGCCCCTCCCCAGGGGTGGGCAGGGAACCAGTCTTGGAAGGCGGTGGTTATCTGAGTCTTGGTCTGTTCCGTGAGCTGGCTGCCTGCTGCGTTTGAAGATGCAGATTCTCTGAATTAGCACTGGAATAGCCTGCCTTCCTGGAGAAGGAAATGGCAACCCACTCCAGTATTCTTGCCTGGAGAATCCCGTGGACGGAGGAGCCTGGTGGGCTACAGTCTATGGGGTTGCAAAGAGTCAGACATGACTAAGCAACAAACACACACATATAGCCTGCCTTTCCCACTGCCTCCTCTGCGCCCGTCTCTAGGCCTCACTCAGGCGTTGGCTGAGACACTGTGGGAGGCAGGCATCTTGTTTACAATCTGAGAGAAGCCTCAGATTGAGGGTGGACGGCAGGGGCTTGAAGGGCAAGAGACTTCAGCTTTAGGGGCACTGAAATAATCCTGGAAACATAATGGAGAGAGGGAGAGAAACATACTACTGCGTTGGTCAGAAACCCCCTGGGGAAGCCTGCTTGGCCCTGGAGTGGTTGAAGAGGCTTTGATGGGCCTTAGGGGGTGCATGACCCCCGCCCCATGCACTGGGGGAGCAACAGGGTTGCTAAACTACTGTCTGAGGCAGGTATGCCTTCTGTTAAGTTCCCCACATCGCTTTTGTTGGACAGTTCCTATCCACAGAGGAGGGCCTGAAAGCGGCCTCTTCCCACCTTCTGTCATTTGGTACCAGATCAGTGCGAAGTGGCCCTATTATGTGAGCTGGTGGGGGTGCACAGGTATCTCTGTGCCCCGCTGTGGGGTGTTGCAGAGGCTTTGACCTCTCCTGTCAGGGGAGTCAGGCCCTGAGGGAGGAGCAAATGCTTTGAGAGCTTGGACAGAAGAGCATTCCAGCAAAGGCACAGCTGGGACCCCTGCCCTGTGCCGGGAGAGGGCAGGGCGTGCCTGGGTTCTGGCAGAAGGCCAGTGAGGCCGGGAAGCTGCGGGCCTGGAGAAGGAGGTAGGAGCGGAGGCCGCAGAGAGAGGAAGGACCCTGACTTCTAAGTTTCTTAGATTTCCCCCCAGAGGAACAGGCCTGAATCAAGTCTCCATTCAGGGCTGCAAAGTGGAGGGAGCTGGGAAACGGGAGAGGATGCCAGGAAACCGGTTGGGATTCTCCGGCGAGGGCCATTTAGGAGAAGATCTCCTGGTTAACTGACTCTGTCTCCCTTGCCAGGGAGCATTTAGTTAGAGACTTCTCATTTACATTTGGAAAGTCCTTTTCATTTTTGTGTTTTTATGCTTCATAAGTTGGTAAGAATGCTGTGGGCTGGGCACACATTCATCTCCTTTTATGAACTGTGCAGAAAGTGTCTACTGTTACAAGATGCTGTGCTGGGTCCTGGGGGTGCAGGATGAGACCCACAGCACCCCTGCCCCCAGAGAGCTCTTGGGTAGCAGAAGGAGACTAACCAGAAAGCAAACAGGGCAGTGGCGGGTTCTGACTGGAGTCCGGTGGGCTGCAGAGTGGGCCGAGTGCAGGCGGAGAAAGAGTGGTCGATTTTAAGAGCAGAGGGTAGTCGTTGGACGGAGAAGGTTTCACTGGACCCCTGAACTGAGTATTTAAAGTTGACCAGGCACTCCCCAACAGAAAGCAGGCCCTGAGGACTAGGTGGAAAAAAAATAAGGGGGCATGCATTTAGCAAGAAAATGAAAGATGGCAGGTGGTTTAGGGTGGAAGAGGGTGTGAGGAGAAGGAGAGACTGCTGAGGGCGGGGGTCGGCGTGGGGGTCCAGACTGGCTGTTTAACCTGTGCCAGGCGGCAGGGCCCACTGGGACGTTAAGGAAGGGGTGAAGGAGTTAGGCCGTGTTTGCCCAGACCTACTCTGTGATCACTTTGAGTGTATGATGAGGGGAGTGAGCCTGGAGGTGGGAAGGGTCTTGGGACACTGTTTGCCATAGAACCAGTGGGACGTGATGGAAGCCTGGTATAAGCAAGTATAAACAGGAATGGTGGGGAGGGAAGGGGTGGGAGCAATGCCAGGGGGTCCCACATGCTGGAATTGGTTACTGAGTGCGTGCAGGCAGTGAGAGAAGGTGTTGAGGGTAATTCTGGGGTCTCTGGATTGCTTGACTGGCTGGTTCGTGGTGTCATTCAAAGAGAGAGAGAGAGAAGGAGAGGAGGGAAAGTTTATGGGAAAGTAAGTTTTAGGCTTATTGAATTTAATCTGTGGGGTTAGTGAGGTGGATATATTTAGGAGACAGTGGCCACATGAGTCTGGAGCTGTAGGCTGGGGAGTCTTCCTCTCACAGTTGCTAATCCAGGGCTTGGGTTTGAAAGCCCATCTGTAGTGAGTACCTCAACTACCCACAGGGGCCAGGTAGACGAGGAGTGGTACTATCTTGGGATAAGAAAGGCAATAGCAAAAAAACAGATGTAGAAAACCCCCAACTGTGCAAACGTGAAATTAAAAGTCTTCTAACATTTGGCTTCAGCCTGTGGGATGCAGGGAACAGTGGGGAGTGTGACAAACTGTGGGTGCCTCAGAGGCTCAGTGCAATTCCAGATAATTTCTCAAATCAGAATTTGTGTATGGTATTACAGGATTTCATGATTTTTTCCACAAAAGTCAGACATTTTTATATTTATGTAGAATTTCCTAAGAATCTAGATATTTCCTAAGAATAAAAATCTAAGAATATTGGCACAGTTAAAAGAAAAAATCATCCTATAATCAAAGCAAAAGGTATCTGTGGGCCAGAGAGTCTGCTGTCACTTCTTGGGGCAGAAAGGAATGGATGTTCTGTGAGTACAGGTCCACGTCTCATTGAACAGAATCAGAACTGTGTATAGTTCTGATGTACTGAACTGCACGATCTCCAGCTTACAAACATCACAGACCTAGAAATTGCTTCTTAAGACTCTTTCACAGTCTCTGAGGATCCCAGCCAGTAAAATCATTCTTTGGGTTGCTCCACTGTATTTTCTGTTTTTTTCCATCAGTCATGCTACAAGGCTTATCTCTTCTAGGCAGGAAATGAGAGTCCCGTTGTCATGGCTGAGAGTTCTTGTGTATGGGTGTGTGTGTTACAGTGGAGAAGTAGGAGATGAAGGAGATTTCCTTCTAGAATCTCAGAGTCTTTGTGCTAGAAAACACCTTAGAGACTTTTTGTACCAACTGCTTATTTTACAGATAGGGAAATGAGGCTTAAATAAGTCAATGGCGTAACTGATATCACAACCCTGCTGTTCTCATGTTCTAGTCGAGTACGTCATGCTACCTAACACCATGTATGGCTTCCCAGGTGGTGCTAGTGGTAAAGAACCTGCCTATCAGTGCAGGTAGAAATAAGGGACGTGGGTTCAATCCCTGGGCTTGGGAAGATCCCCTGGAGAAGGGCATGACAACACACTCCAGTATTCTTGCCTGGAGAATCCCATGAACAGAAGAGCCTGGCAGGCTATAGTCTATAGGGTCACACAGAGTCAGGCACAACTGAAGTGACTGAGATTCATGCAACACCATATGCAAAAATTAACTCAAAACAGATTAAAAACCTAGATGTAAGACCAAAACCATAAAACTCCTAGAAGAAAACATAAGCAGAACACTCTTTGATATAAATCATATCTCTTTCCTAAAGCAAAGGAAATGAAAGCAAAAACAAGCAAGTTAAACCTGATTAAACTCCAAAGCTTTTGCACAGCAAAGGAAATCATTGATAAAATGAAAAGACAACCTACAGAATGGGAGAAAATGTTTCCAAATGATATAACTGATAAGGGGTTAATATCTAAAATATACAAAAAGCTCATACAACTCAATATCAGAAAACAACTTAACTAAAAAATGGGTGGAAGACTGAGATAGACATTTTTCCAAAGAGGACATACAGAAGGCCAACAGGCACATGAAAGATATTCAACATTGTTAACCATCAGAGAAATGTAAGTTAATAAACTCTAGAAATGATCCCTGAAATTGTAGTCTTGAGAAATGCAAATTTAAACCACAGATAGCACCTCAAGCTGTCAGAATGGCTATCCTCAGAAAGAGCACAGATAACAAACGCTGGTGAGGATGTGGAGAGAAGGGAACTGCTTGTGCACTTTTTATTGGGAATATAAATTGGTGCAGCCACTATGGAAAATTGTATGAAGGTTTCTTGAAAAATAGAACTACCATATGACCCAGTGATTCCATTCCTGGGTATATGTGAAAAAAAATGGAAACACTAATTCAGAAAGATACATGCACCCCAATATTCATAGTAATAGTATTTATAGTCGCCAAGATATGGAAGCAAACTAAGTGTCCATCAGTGGATGAATGGATACAAAATATGTGAAACACACACACACAATGGAATACTGCTGCTGCTGCTGCTGCTGCTAAGTTGCTTCAGTCCTGTCCGACTCTGTGTGACCCCTTAGACGGCAGCCCACCAGGCTCCGCCGCCCCTGGGATTCTCCAGACAAGAATACTGGAGTGGGCTGCCATTTCCTTCTCCAATGCATGAAAGTGAAAAGTGAAAGTGAAGTCGCTCAGTCGTGTCTGACTCTTTGCGACCCCATGGACTGCAGCCTACCAGGCTCCTCCATCCATGGGATTTTCCAGGCAAGAGCACTGGAGTGGGGTGCCCAATGGAATACTACTCAACCATAAAAAGAACTTCCCTGGTGGCACAGACTGTAAAAGATTTGCCTGCAGTGCAAGAGAACCGGGTTTAATCCCTGAGTCAGGAAGATCCCCTGGAAAGGGAATGGCAACCAATTCCTGTATT